GCCAAAAACAGCAACACGCGAGGCATATGCCCTTTATACAGTGACTATTTGTTGACGTATATTCCATTTAGCCCCCTTGGGTAGTGGGTTGAGGGAAGTGGATAGCATCTCAGAAAAGGATTTGGACAAGAGCAGAATCGTGTTTTTTTTTTTTTTGGGGGGGGGGGGGGTAAAGTGTCTGGAAAAACAGGTAGCAGCGGAGTTCCTCTTCGGGCTCATTTTTGGACGACCGACTTGGGTGTGTCTCAACATAGGGGCCAAATGAGTGGTGTTCCTTTGGTTCCTTGGGGCTGCAGTGCAGGTTACACCTCCAAAAGAAATAGAACCAGGTTACACCTCCATGTAATGATGTCGGTTCAAAGCTACGCCCATTTGCTGTTCATTGTCGCCATTTTTCCCAGGGGGCGAAGTATATCACATGCTTACTACTTTCTATACTACCTTTTAAAGTATGTGATGAGATATGCTTACTGGACGTTGAAGCAAATGGAAGTATACCCTCCCCCAAACGTGGAAGCTCCCAGGACCTGTTTGGAAGACTTGGTTCCATTTACCGTGGCCTTCTGGGAGCTGAGGGAGTGTATCAACGGCTCGGACGTCGGGCTGGCTGCGTCCAGGTGGACATTGACATGGCCAGCCTGGTGCATCTCAGCCCAGCGCTGCCGGTCTTGACGGTGCGCTTGGACGTCTCTGAGGCGAGGCGCTCGGATTTTTTTCGCTGCAAGCGGTCGGGGAGAAAAAAGGGGGGTCGAAGAGATGGGCTAGGTTTTCCAGTAGTGCCCTTCTTAAACCCCTTTTTTGGGGGAGGGTTCCCGTACTAAAATAGACTACAGAAAAAAGTTGGTACCCTAACCTCTCTACTGGAGGACCTAGTGGGAGTCCTTTGCCTCACTTCCCGAGTTCCTGGATTTGAAACTTTTTGGGCTTGGGCCATTGTAGTGGTAAATCTATTTAACAAAATGTTGTTTTTTTGGCCATCCACTCGGGAAGTGAGTCGCTGGTGCGATAGGCAGGAACTGAGAAATGGAATGACCCCTGTAAAGTATCCCTTGTGGATTCCTGCAATGGAATCCCAAGATGATTCATTCCCAACACCCTGGCTCGGTCATTCCGTACCTATCGCACCAGCAAGTTAGCGGGGGGGGGGGATTCCTGCTTGTTTGGTGTTTCATTTCCCGACCTGGTGCCAGTTTCATGCAACCCCAATGTTTCAACTTTTACACCGGAAATTTGTGTGACCTCTGAAAATGGGTATCCACAAGGACTTGATATTTAGGGTATGGTCAGTTAAGCACCCAGTTTGGTCCCGCACTCAAAACCGTGGGTTTCCAGCTGTGATTCCGCTCCTTAGGGCAGATTCTTATGTGTTTCTCACCGTCAGGAGGAAATCAGCGAATTTCAAGCTGGAAAGGCAAGCAATGAGGTTGGAGGGTTGAAAATAGTGTTATGCATCAAGTGGTCAACTGCCAAGCAACGCCCCCCTTTGTTTTCCATTGACAGTTTTCCCGCTGCATGTTCCGCCCACTTAGTAAATAAACTACTATTCCAGACGGCATGCTCAAAAGCCCCTTCACTTGGATTGCTTGGGTCTTGACCCCCTCTGGATGAAAGGAATCCCATACTATAGGTTTTGCTCGCGGATGGACCCTGATGGCAACGATGTGCAGGGCTGCTGCACACAAAGGCAAGCAGCCAGGAGTCGCCATGACCCTTTGAAGTTTGGATCGTGACCCTTTCCATTTTAGTAGACGATTCCCTTTTGAAAGGGTCATACTGTGGATGGACGAAATCCATTTCGCACCACTTGGAAACGAAGGGAAACCACTGTTTGTTGGTATTTACAGGGGAATCATATCATTCCAGGGTTTCCGGAACGGTGGTGCGAAATGGATCTCGTCCATCCCCAGAGCTTCCAGAAGCAGACCTACCCTCGCAGACCTACCCTCCCTCCCACTAACCTAGCACCGCCGGGGGGTTACCTGGAAGATCACTTTCCTCTTGGGACCCCCGGTCACGCGCCACGTCACTGGGAGGGATGGTTTTCCCCCCCAATGTACCCTCCCGCCAATCCATGGGTTGGTACAAAAAGGCCAACTCACCAAGAGGAAAGTCGTCTTTCAGGGGTCTGTGCACCAAACCACGTTGGCTGCTGGGAGGGTCAACAGCCAATCCACCGAGGGCCTGGTGTGGTACCGCCTGCTTCGCCCTCTGAGCGCTGTGCGGGACGTCACGGGTGCCGGGGACGCGCTGCTGGCGGGCGCGGCTTCTGCCTTTGTGGCCGGATGGCCCCTGGAGGACGGGGGGGGGAAGGGATGGCAAAATCGGCTCAAAGGCTGCCTGGTAGAGCGGTTGAACAAGTCAATATAGTCAATATTTGCAACGGCTGTCTAGTGCATGTTGATATGTTATTACGTAAATATATACACATACATCGATTATATGAATAACATGAACTTGGGCATGAGAATATCATTGCTGATTTGATTGGTGTGCTTGTTCATCTAGCTCAGTTGGTATTGATATTGACAGAGTATCAATTATACGTAGTACACTTAGCATTGTTGAGGCAATTACCGAGTAATGATGACTACTATTTTGAATGCCTTTACTTTTACACTTCATAGTTTTATAAACAGTACGACGAAATGCACTTTTAACATGCTTCCGGTGATATGTTCATCATTATTCGTATTGATAGTTTTATTTTGTACAATGCACCAACATGTCGTGAATATTCTGACGATAGTGTCCAATACAGCTTCGCACGCATCAGCTGCAAGAGCTGCTGCGGCATGTAAAAATTGATGCTTTTTACCGGTACCGTGTGTTTTTCAATATAGGATTTGGCCCCGGCAACAGCTTTTGCCACACTAGGACTGCTGCTATTCTTACTCTTTTGGCTATTGCTCTAGAGCTACCTAAAATGGTAGGTTTGATTTGGCTTCCCTGCAAATCCCACCAGCGAACACAGTCCGAGTTCAACCTCCCTAGGTTCAGTATATCCCGATGATGCAGTCTTGGTGGCAAGGTTGGATCTTCTTCAAGGTACTGGGGTTGTTGTAGAGGGAAACGAAAAGGTACCCACATGCAATAAGTATTTCAACTTGAGATTCATTGTGGATAGAAAAACGATTATCCAATTGTAGAACCCTTTAAACCGCTATTCTTTAAACCCTGGTTAAACCTCTATTGTTGAAGCATGTGTTGGGAAACACCTCTATTGGCTGAACAATTGTCAAACGGCTATGGTTTGCACCGACATTGTTAAAGCACGTATGTTTGACTCGCTCTATTTCAGGAATGGTTACCCCCAATTGGTAAAATCCCTATTGAACCATGGATTGAAAAAAGGAAAAAACGCTGAAACGGCCTCCTTAGGGTTGGTAACCAGATCTTCGAGAAGACGGCGCCACTCCTTGCAAAAGGGTAAAGGATTGAAACAGCCTGGCTTCCCCGAGAGAACCGAATCGGGCACTATCAACGGAAAACCAATCTATGCATTCCCCCAGTCAAAGTTTGCATGTCCAGATTTAGGTTTAGGGCCCACGAGTGTCCCTTCCCATGTCCGTACCAGTCCTTTCTCTCGTCCATGCCTACTCCCTTGCTGGGGCTCTCAAAGCCTCCCAGGGGCCCATACTGTGGGCGAAATCCATTTCGCACCACCTAAGAAACCCAACGGAAAGATTCGAGTCCCCAACGTAAATACCGTAACAAACCATGGTGTCAACCAGGGTTTCATTTCGTGGTGCGAAGGGATTTCGGCCATCCAGAATATGGACCCTTTCACACCAACCATTCGTGCGGGGTTGCCTATTAAGATTCATAGAATATGGCCAAATTATGTCAAGCCAAATAAGTTCTAAGTTGGGGAAGTCGAGGAGGCCGTGCTGGCGGGGCTGGCAGCCGCTCACACCACACTCTTTGTGGATGGAGCTGTGGCGCAGCAACTGCATCAGGACAGCCAAGCTCATGACATCGGGGGTTGGTGAGTTAAGATCCATCTACTGGTAGTACTCTGGCAAGTGTCTCCCTTTTCATTGCAATATTGCTGTGCAGTATTCGCGTTGTTGACCCAGGGATGCCTGGTTTTGTTTGGGTAAAGGGGAGGTCAAAAAGCAAAAGAAAGCGAAGGCCAACCAACAACAGGGTGGCGCAAATCAAAGCAAAAGTAAGTTGTTTTTCGTGCCTTGTAAACCAAAAGGTAAAGTGGAAGGGACAAATCAAGTTTTGGGCTGCACTTGTGCAGGGTTCCCCGTCAGGACGAATGCAGCGCTGAATAGGCTCATTAAGTTTTTCATAGGGACTCGCCACTCTGTGTGGAGGCTTCGATTATGAGATTCCTATTCAAAGGAAAATCCTAGGCACTGGATGTGTTGTTTTGGCCAAAGGGGAACCAGCACGGGATGGGTGATTTGTGACTTTTGGGTTTGGACCTCCGTTGCCTTTTGCCAAACATTTTGGCAGATCCTTTCACGTGCGTAAGCGCCGAAGATGCGGCCTGCCCTGGTGTGTCCTTTGTTCTACTCGTGAGAAGCATGTGGGCTTTTGTGCATCGGCTCAAAACCGATTGGCAAGTGAAGGCCAGGGGACAGTACCCTTGCCACAAGAATCCGCAGAGACTGGATTCTTCGCGGGTTTGGTGTCAAACACTTGCCAATGTTTGATGACTCTCCAGGAGTTCTTGCCCAAGCTGGCGATGCAGCTCAGAGCCCAAAGCCGACTCTGATGGACGGATGCATTGGATGGCAAAAGCAGCAGCAAGTTGATTGTCGGCGAAGAACAAGAGCGCCGTGCGCTTGCAGGTGATGAGATGTCGGAGAGCGCGGTGGGATGTTGATTACTGGGCGGGCTTTGTGGGTTTGGTGTTTGTTCGGAATACCGTTTTCAGAGTTTCCCTTGGGTTGTTTGGGGGTGTCGACCCCAGTTCCTTTTGAAGCAGAAGGCATCCGTAAGGTCCAATCCAACCACCGAGCTGGAGTTTGCAATCCTCTCGCCTTGAGGTGTGCAGCCTGCTGGCATCAAGATAAACCCGGCTCCTATTCAGATGCCACGGCAGGCCTGGGGCAGGCCTCACTTACTTTGATCCCCTGGCAACAGCTCCAAAAACCGACCAGATCTGACCTATTGGTTTTCCCAGTTTGGTCCATATTTCGTCAAGGCCCCCAAAGGTAACCTTCTATTTCCAGCTTTGGGCACGTGGGCAGAAACCAGTTGATTCCCGCCATGAGAAGATCACCCATGGCCCCTGGTCGCTAATTTCTAGTAGTCACTTTTTGTTCGGGTGCAATGGCTGGCTATGGCTCTGAATCAGAGGGGTGGGTTGTTTTCCTTTGGACTTTGACATTTGACAATGGCAGAATCATCGCGCGCAGTGTGGGATTCTCCTGACATTTTGGGTGATATGGTGTTCAAAAAACAAGCAAGCGTGCAAACAGCCAGTTTGAGGACAGGGTTCATCACCTTTTGGGCCCCTTTGAAGTGATGTTCTGTGGGGTTTTAGTTTAAGGGTAGGGCGCCCCCGAGTTTTGGCGTCGGAGCTCGGGCAGGTGGAGCTGACGAAGGATGCCATTATCCATGTGGCGCAGGTGAGCGAGAAGGGTGCAAACCAAAGAAACACCGGGGGGGCCTGGCGATCTCTACGTTCCCACGATCATATGAGCAGCGTTTTTTAATCAAATGAAAGGGTTTATACAAAAAGGGAACTGCATGTACTTTGCGGAGGCAATCCTGGTTGGGGGCGTAGGCTCGCGTAGGCTTCAGCGTAGGCTGTTGTGTCACCCCTCGCGTAGGCTTTTCGCGTAGGCGTTTGTTGAACAAATCATGACTCAGTGCTGTTTGCCAAGTATAAATGAATTTGCTTCCTTTGCCTTCCTTCTGTTTGTTCTGGAGTCTTCGCGTAGGCTCCGCGTAGGCCCCGCGTAGGCATTCGCGTAGGCTTTCAAGGCATTTTGGGTACGTAGACCTTTTCTGGCAGCCAGATCCTTGGACAGATGCGGGCTTATCACTTGTACTGCAGTTCTGATCTTAGAGCCGGAGCTGCCAAAACTGAAAAGTTGCGATTTTCCAGCTGGAGCTGCCACTGCACTTCGACACTCGAACTCAACATTTGTCCGCGTAGGCATTCGCGTAGGCACCTGGAAGCTGACTTGTGCTCGCGTAGGCACCCCTCGCAGGCCGCGTAGGTTTGCGTAGGCCTTCGCGTAGGCATGCAAGTAGTGTATAGGCCTCGAACCACCAAAAAAAACACTGCTCAAAACTTAAACAGGAGGGGTTACGCAGGTTTTGGTCCATGTTTCCACTTACAAGGGTTCCATTTTGGTACCGGTTTTTTGAGCCACAGCCATATACTGACTCAGAGCCATGGCAGGTGGCAGTCTAAGACCAAGTTGCGACTTGTGACATGGCTCCCCTTGACATAAATCGGATCGCCCGTCGCGAAACATCCAGCGGATTCTTGTTCGTCCTTCAGGTTCAACCGGCCCAAAGTGGGTGGGGCGGCTTCACACCAAGCAACACATGGCTAAAATAACACACACACACAAACACCCACCCACACACACACACAGACCTTTCTTGGGCTATCAGCTTGCCGGAGCCTTGGCGGTCCTTCTTCTTATCGCGAAAATGCGGCGCGCGGATCGAGTTCCATCCGCAGGTGCCCTCGGAGTGGTCGGCAGAGGAACTGAGGCAGCTGCATCAGTCCCTGGTTATTGAGGAGTTTCAAAATGCCCGGGGCTCAAGTAGGCTGTGGCTTGAAAACATGTGGCTGTGGGTCAAAACCAATTCTACGATTTTGGGGTAGGTGCACCACCCATTTTAGTCTATTTTAGGGGGGATTGGGATCATGGGTCATGTACCAAAATGATACCACGTAGCCTAAGTAGAACCCGGCAACATGCGAAAAAAGGGGGGTGGGGGGAAGCCACCAGGGCTCAAGCAGAATGACGCCTTGGTAAATGGAACCCAAGGCTAAAACATGCGGTTTGGCCCTGGCTCTCTAGTTTTGAGCCACACCCAGTTGCGAGAGCAGTGGGCAGCCTGAACTTGACCACGTAACCTAAGTAGAACCCGCCCCCATGTGGAAAATGGGGGGTGGGTGGGATGCCAGCAGAAAAGCCCTGGTAGACTTTTCCGGTAAAAAGTTGGTGATTTCAACATGACCTTTAAGGGGAATGCTGAAGTGATCTTTGAAGGGGCCATACAAGGAACCTTGTCAATGACGCAGCGGATTGAGCTTTTTACCGGTCCGGCGGAAACACAGATGGACGAGCCATGACGCACCAAGGTTCGGATAAACTGTTGGCATCTTCCCATGAACGAAACCCATTTTGCACCTTTTGAAAAAGGACCCCCATCAGAGTGTTTATATAAAGCTAGCCTGATTAGCTGAAGTTTCTTCTGGCGCAAGCAAGGCAAGGGCCTGCAATGCCGAAAGATTGATTTCACCAATAGCTGGGGTTGCAAGAATTAATTCTTTAGACCTCCCCCCCTTCAGGGGCCCCGTTTGCCACCGCCCCTCCAGGTGTTCGAATGGACTTGCATCCAGGCCACTCTCTTTTCAGGGCCTGAGTGTTTGCTGGACCAATGCCCTGCTTTCGCTCACCCCCTCCTCAAGTACCATTTCCGACTCGCGGCCTGCGTTGTTGTTTTGTTCCAGCCACGCTGAACGTTTTCACTCACCTCACCTGCGCTCACTCTTTTCTTCGGTTGCCTCAGGTAAAGATTATGCCATCCTCCGACGGAGGCGAGGGATTCGGAACCAGCGAGCCAGGGATTTCTACAAGAGATTGGCTGCATATGGGTGTGTCGTTTTTGTGGGCATTTGACCTCCTGAGACCCGACTTTGGGGCCCATCCATCGTAAGCCGTCCACAACCCCTAACTCATTCTGGATATGCTTTCGCTTCTAGGATACTAGCACATCTTCGGGCTAGCATTGCTATATGACATACAGAACTGCTGCCAGATGAGTTAGAATCCCAGAGCGAAAGCACAGCCAGACTGCCAAAACGAAAGAGGTGTGACAGGAAAGTTGCAATTTTGCTCAGCCCTAGATGTGAGCCAAACTCTGTGTTTGTTGGCTTTTTAATGTAGAATGTCCCCGCTGGTTCTTGATCTTCAGGCAGTAAGACCAGAGGGCACATACGGCAATCACACTGTGAACAGTATCCACTTCGGCACCAGTCGGGATTGGTAGTTTATCCGAGTATTCACACTGTGGATGGACGAAACCCATTTCGCACATCTAAGAAACCCTAGAATGATTCGATTCCCCTGCAAATACCAACAAACAATGGTTTCCCATTGTCAATGGTGCAGGATTTCGTCCATCCACAGTACGGCTTTGTCCATGCCGAGGAGTGTAGGATGTTTCCCATTCACAGCATCATCCAAGCGCACTTTAGAAGTCGGCAATATCCAGCATTCGGCATGTCACGAGCCACGCGTGGATTCCAGGATTGCCGGGAAATTGAAAGATGTTTGTGTGAAAACGCCACAGTCGTAAAGGCTGGCGTTGAAAACAGGTGCAATCCGCCTGCAGAAACACTGCCTGCATTCCAAGCAGTTTGGGTGTGAGAAAAACGTGTGTGTGTGTGTCAAAATAAGGGGGAGGGTGGCTGCATTTTGGCTTCCCTTCAAGCCGCGTACCGAGCCTCGGAAAAGCGCGCCCATGGTGTCAGGCATCACGCGCCACGCCTATCTGCAGTACAGGAGCAGCTGGGGCTGGGCATAACTTCCGTAGTGCAAACACACGAGCCACGGTCGACATCTGCTTAAGAATGTTTTTGGATTTTCCCCAGTTGAGCAGCGTTTTTTTTTCTCAGATGATGGATTTTAGCTTCGTGGGGAGCTCCCAAACGGTCCGCGAAGGCACTTGTGTGATACATTCCCGCGAAGCCACTACGCGTAGCCCGGTAACATTGACACAGCCGAAGCCACTTCGCTAAGCCACTTCGTGGTTTGAGTGTGTTGCGTGCTTTCATGGCAAGTGTGTTGTGCGCTTTCATGGCAGTATTCCATTCCAAAGGTTGATGTTTAGAGTCCGCAGGCTATGACAAGATTACAGGAAGATTACGGGAAGACGACCGGAAGAGCACTGTGCGTTTCAGGCCCGGTTTTGCTAGAAACGATGGACCCGAAGCCTCCGCGAAGCCTCCGCGAAGCCACCGCGAAGCCACCGCGGTCCAACTTCCATGCTCCGGCCCTTTGAGGCCCAGCCATGTCCCCTAGTCCTGACGCTCAATGCGCCTTTCATCGCCCCCTTTCGCATGGACTCAACTTGATTCAACAACATGGGAGCGCAAACGTTAGAGATGTTTGTGGAACAATCATCCCGGCGAAGCCACTCCGCGAAGCCACAGTCTTGCCGCGAACTGGCCCCACGAAGTAGCCTCCCCGGCAGTGTATAGGCCCTGAACCTCTAAAAAACAATGCTCAGTTGGGGTTTTAAAGGCAATCTATGACTCTGGCAATATGTTTGTTTTAAACGGAGGAATATGGCCAAGATGTACTGAAAGGAAATGAGGGGCACACGAGCCCCAAGTTATTTCAGTGGCACACCTGAGCTTGTCATTGTTGACCATGTGCATTCTCAGAGGAGACAGTTACGGAGACAGTCGGCCCCCCGACCCAAGAAAGGTTCGACAGGAACACTTGGATGAGAACCCCTTCTAAGAAGGTTCTGAGAACCTTGCGTGCGGGATGGGGAAGGGTTTTCCCGTATTCCCTTTGCGCAGCGCTAGAAGGCCAGCCTTGAAACGTTGCAAGGTCCAGAAAGAAGTGTCATGAAGCTTGGTGGCTCCCAGGCATCCGCTTCCTTGGCTGCTTAGCCTTTTAGTGTTCAGTGGTAGTTTCCGAATTTAACCCACTTAAAGCTAAACTTTGAGCGAGGCATTTGAGGGCACGAAGAAATTGAACTCATCCTAATGCTAAGCCACACGCGGCAGCCTCGTAATGCTTCTCAGAGGGGAACGAGGTCATGTAAGGTATGCCTACGTGCATTCCCCAAAACCTTTTGATTTCTTACTGGGAACCCGCAAATCGTTTCTGTATCTCAATAGGGATGCGGACATGGCGGTGTGACTGGAAATTCCCATGCAGTGAGCTAGCAAATTTTGACCAGTCGCATCGCCTCCTGCAAAGTTTTTCCAGATTCAATGGTCACCTTCGTGTTGTCCGTTGGATGTTTCGCAAAGCGTTGCTTTTATACTTACCATGTTCCCGATTGCCAAGAAAGCTGCTCAAAAATGTCATGAACTGATCAACCTACTCATCAACGAAGCATGATTTCCCCTCAACCTAACCACTATCCTACCTATTTTCCCGTCAACCTACCAGCCTTGGGGGGAGCAATTTACAATTGAATTTAGCATCACCGGTTGGGCTGGTCTTTTTCTGGGTGGACAAACTCCCTGAGTTCCCGGACTTCAAGCCTTTAGACCAGAGCAAACAACAACAGAAAGTGACTTGCTGGTGCTCAGCAGGGCCCTTATAAACCATCCAACTGGTGGTTTCCTTTAAGGGGACCGAAGCCTGGGTTCATTCCATTTCTCATTCCCTACCTATCGCACCAGCAAGGTGAGCGAAAGTATTTCCCCGCTCGCCTTCCAGGACAGCTGCTGCAGCCTGGAGTGCTGTGAAAAGGCCATGCCATGGCCATGCGGTCGTGGGCCAAAACCGTGTTGGGATCCTATTTTGGTTGGTAGGTGGATTCACCACCCATTTTAGAACCGATTTTAGTGGTTGGATTGGGATGTTCACTGGGGGTACGGGGTTTTGAGACCCATAGCCATGTGGTTTTCTTGTTTTTGTGCATGCGCGTGTGGCCACGTTTGGTTTGCAACATTTTATTACATACTTAACAGCCATCAGAGCATCATAAAAGGCCGTTTTCTGGGCGTCTGAATTGGATTGTATGCTTTTACGGGGTGGTTCTCCTTTAATCACCAGTTACGTGTATACTTGTGCGAGGATGACAATCCCCAGAACTAGCCCCCCGTTCCCTTGAAGGAACATCAAAACGAGGTTTAAACAGTTTGTCTCATTGATTCCACCCATCGGTCTCTTCAGAAACCACCCAGTTCCCCAACGTGTTGGCCATTTGTCCAGGGTGTTGCCCTTAGGTCCCTTATCGGATACCAAGGGTGAGCTATATAGTAAATAACTTTTGTCCAGCTGATTCGGAGCATCCCCTTGTCAAGGTGGTTTTGGAATTAAAGGAACCCTGTTCAACCAAAATGAGTGCCCATGTTCTTCCGCCGAAAGTCCACGGGATGGCGCAACAAATCCCTCGGATTCATTGTGATCCGAAGCCGGCATGCTGATGAGCTTCACTGCTGACGCAAATAAATGTCAGCCGTTACTGACTTTGAGCACAGCTGCACTTGACTTTGTCTGGTGTTGGAGGGTACCGTCTCGTTTTGGTTGGCTGGGGAAACCAACCGGAAGCCACCCATTTTGGGGTGGGAAGTCCCTATTGGAAGTACTGATTTGAACATGCGTGCTAAGAGCGAGAGATAGACCATGGACGTCGCATCGAGATACACCATGCTGCAGGTTGTCAGGCAACCTGGTGCATGTGTCCGGAGGGGTGAGGCGCGCCGAACAAAACTGAGTGTGGATTTAACCAGGGACCCTTTGGTGGACACCATTTTTGGTGAAGCATCTTGTCCACCAACCACTTTCGAGGTGGTTCCGACTCTTGAAATTCATGGCGATGGATGGCAAGGCAAGAACAATCAAGGTTGCTTCGTCGCGGTCACACTGAGCTCATCGGGAGCAAGCATCAGCTGTGCTTGCTTGCTGATGGGCAAAGCATGCTGGGGTATCGGTTTTATAGGTCCCAGGGTATGGGTTTCGAGGCATCGGTTTCTGATGGGCTTGCGCTTCAACTGCCAGACTCGGCATTTGTCACTATGGGGATGCCAGAGGCAAGCCAAGGCCTCAAGGGCCTCCACGCCCACGTGACTGGCTCGTTTTTGAGGCCAAACAAGTAGTTGGACATGTGTCTTCCCATCGAAATCGTCAGGGTCCCTAGTGAAAATTCGGTCAAAGCCAGCTCTACCAGCAGGTTTCTATTATGTATCTGGAGTCGATGTATGACCCTTTGCAAAGGCGGTCATGTACCAAACATTACCAAACATAAAGGGTAACCCCATTTTGTCAAGAGTCTCCATAAACATGAAGGGTGATCTTTTCAAAGTCAGAAGAAGACTCCAGGCGGTTCTTCGCTTGACTGCTATTGGCTTGGATATGTAGACTTTGACTTTTTGGTTGAAATCAAGGGGTTTCCACTAAACCCCCAACAAGTTAAACACTTTTTGCGGGGGAGTCAACAGCAACCAAGTCGGAGAAAACCTTCGCGGGCGCCCCAACGACACAACTGCGGGCGCCGCTGGCGCCGCCGCGCATGCGCGAAGGCAGCTGGCGGCTGAGCTTTCAGCCCCAGAGACCCAGGTTTCTGGCCCGGAACCGGAGAGGTACCTGCGCCTCGGCCTGCGC